ATTTGGAAATTTCTCTTTGGAATTCTTAGAGTCATCTTGGATGAAACCTGTCCAAGCTAAACTATTCTGCCCTCAAACTGGATTTGCTCAGGCAGGAAACTTTAGAGTCTTCCTTGATTCCTCTCCTATTCCACATACAGTTCTTTTATAGATTCCATAAAAATGTTTCTCAAATCTGACTGCTTCTCGCCATCTTCATGGATGGTCCAAACCAAGTCTTCTCTCACATAGATGACTTGAATAACCTCCTAAAAATTGGTATTCAATGTTTCCTTAAAATAAGCTTAGAATATTTAGATATTTATTTGTTCATCCCTTCCATCCTCCCCACCAGTTTAACTTTCTCCCTACCTCTCTCTCTTCTCCTGTGTGAGAAAGAACTTTTTAAATTTTTTGAAATAATTTTAAATTTATAGAAGTTTTAAGACACTTGAGAGAATTTCTCTATACTTTTCCACTATGTTAATATCTTTTCTTTTTTAAGATTTTATTTATTTATTTGAGAGAGAGAGAGCATAAGCAGGGGGAGCAGCAGGCAGAGGGAGAGGGAGAAGCAGACTCCCGCTGAGCAGGGAGCCCCACGTGAGGCTCGATCCCAGGACCCTGAGATCATGACCTGAGCCGAAGGCAGATGCTTAACCGACTGTGCCACCCAGGCACCCCATTCACTATGTTAATATCTTATATAGTCTTAATACATTTGTCAAAACTATGAAATTAATATTGGTACATTACTATTATCCAAATAAAGTCTGAGTTTAGTTATCAGCACATTTTCCACTAATGGTCTTTTTATGATCCAGAAACCAGCTCAGGATCCTACATGATTGCATTTAGTCATTATCTCTCCCTTCTTTAATCTCTCACGGTTTCTCAAATGTTCCCTGTTTTTCACAATCCTGACAGTTTTAAAGAGTACTGGTCAGGGGCGCCTGGGTGACTTGGTTGGTTAAGCGACTGCCTTCGGCTCAGGTCATGATCCCGGGGTCCTGGGATCAAATCCCACATCGGGCTTCCCTTGCTCTGCAGGGAGCCTGCTTCTCCCTCTCCTTCTGCCTGCCACTCTCCCTGCTTGTGTTCTCTCTCTGGCACATAAATAAATAAAATCTTTAAAAAAAAAAAAAAAAAGAGTACTGGTCAGGTGTTCTGTAGAATGACCCTCAACTAGGGTTTGCCCCATGTTTTTTCATGATTAGACTGGACTTAAGGATTTTTAGCAAGAAAACCACAGAGGTGAAGCCCCTTCTCATCACATCATATCAGGGATCCGTGATAGCAACATGACTTACCAGGTGGTGTTAACCTTGATCACTTGGTTAAGACCTCGTCTGTCAGGTTTCTCCACTGGAAAGTTGTTATTTTCCCTTTCTCTATTCTATTTTTGGAAGTGAGTCACTAAATCCAGCCCAGTCTCAGGGGGAAGAGAATTAAGCTCCATCTCTTAGAGAGGGGGTTATCTACGTATATTATTTGTAATCAAATCTCCTTTCTCTTTTAAATCACAGAATGACCGATCAGTTAAAAAGAATAGCTCAAAGATTCCCTAAACATATGTGGCCATACTGTTTTATTTGTGTATCTATAACTATTAAAAACTTATTAAATAGTATATTTTTTTAAAATTACCATTGTGGAAATTGCTTGTACATATGAAACATTGCAGTTTTCTCTCTTGGGTTCATGAATAAAACAAGTTATTTTCTCCTTTTGAGGCCAAGGTTGGCGGGGGGGGGAGGGGATGGGGGTGGGAGAAGAAGAATCATTTCTTAGGGCTGTTTTGTTCCTGGATTCTCCAGGAATTCTTCGCTGGATTTGAGGGACCCTTGTTTGTCTTCACTGTTATCCAGGAATCACAAGAAGGTAACAGTATTCTCAAACAAGATTAACTTTGCTTCACCCTTATTTTCAATATACATAGAAGCTAGTTAGCACTTTTAGAAAGGGGGGCAAAGGAAATCGTACTGTTGAGCAAGTAATGAAAAACAGCAATTCTAAAAAAATGTTAGAAGTCCCTGAGAAATCAGTACCAATGAAAACCATTTAAAAATTTTTAATGTTCTTGGGGCGCCTGGGTGGCTTAGTCGGTTAAGCATCTGCCTTCGGCTCAGGTCATGATCCCAGGGTCCTGGGATTGAGCCCCGCATCGGGTTCCCTGCTCAGCGAGGAGCCTGCTTCTCCCTCTCCCTCTGCCTGCCGCTCTGCCTACTTGTGCTCTCTCTCTCTCAAATAAATAAATAAATAAATAAATACATAAAATCTTTTAAAAGAATTTTAATGCTGTTAAATGTATTCTTAGAGTGTCTTTAACTATGTGATGGTTAATAATTCCATATTGTTTAGTTCAGGTTGATACTTACTGACCTTTATTCTCTTTGCCCCACGCTTCTTCCCTCCCCTAATTCTTACCTGATGCTAAATTATTAATGCGTGTTCCAGATGTAATAAGCAGAAGCTTTGGTTTATGACTCGGACCAATACCATATGTCTTATCTAATTATCTAAGTATGTGTTAGTGACCTTCACCTGACATTAAGAAAATAAAACGAAGACACATACACAATGTACCACAGAGGCTTCGGCAGTAAATGCTTTGATGCTGCTCGTTGACTTCTGAGGGGTGCGCATTGATCAGCGTGTGGTCCCCATGCTTGAGCCAGCCCTTGCTCGGTCTGCAATTGCTTAGTCCTCCTGGTATCTGCCGCCCTTTGCAGCCACTGTTCACAAGGTCTTGGCCACAGCACATTCATTCCTCTCGCTTTATTACCATCACATCTGATTCCAATTTGCTACCAAATTGAGTTTCCAGTCCGGGGTCTGACATTCAAACCATCAGGTGGATTAGCTCCTTCAGCTTGGTTAGCGTGGAAGCTTCAGGTCAGTTGACAGGGGCCGATTAAATGTCCTCTGCTCCTCATCCTGGAGCCTCGGCTGCTGTCCTGTGGAGCAAGCAGCGCCAGGTCACGCACGCACCATAACCTTTCTTCTTGTTTAGAACTCATCATGCTAGACCTATCGCAAAGAATTCTGATTAAAAAGAGTTGGTTTTTCTCCCTTATCTTGCTGTTTCAGCAGTTTTTTTCTCAGAGCGGAGCCGCCAGCTTATGGTTGGGTCGTTTGGGGAATATGATTGATTGAACTATTTGGGGATCACTCATTTGGCTCTTTGCCTCTCATATCATCTGAGTGATCTATTTGCATATGGAGTTGAAACAGCATCTGATTTACTCTGTTATTAATGATAACCCATCAACTCTGCCTCCTTTTCTTGCTACGCTGCTGTCAGATCAACTCACAGGGCCACAGTGTTTCCTTACTCAAGCTCTAGGCCTTTGCTGGGCAGCGGGCTTCCGTAATTCCTTTCTAATAGACACAGTCTGGTGAACGATTACTTCCAGGGAGTTCTCTTTCTTTTCTCTTTTTAACCTGAATCTAAAAACACATTTCTCAGTGCTTGTCATTACCAAAGATAGACATACAGAGAATTGCTCATTGGTTTTCTATTTACATTGCAGTTCCCAAGGAAAACAGTCTTGGTCAGAGACTTTTCTCTTGTCCTTAGGGGTTTTAGTAAATGAAGGTGTACTTATGTTTCACAGTCAGGCATCCACGTTGAGCAAGCACTGTAATTTCTTGGAGATAATCAAGGATTAGAGAAAAAGGCGAAACAAAACAAAAATACAGCATTCCATCCCTGAACCCTGAGGCCCTGGAGAGAAGGAAGATCTCCTGCTTCTAAAATGGTTCATTGTTTCTTCTTGTAATTAAACAATGATATGATTATTATAACTGTATCAGAATATATTTGCCAGTTAATAAGTAAGGTGTGTTATATTTAAAGCAGCATCCTCCCCTTGGTCTGCTCCTTCAAGGCCAAGTCCTGCAAGCTGTGCTGGAATTAATTGTGCTGTTTAGAAGTAAGATCTGCGGCCACTGTCTGTGACACACATTTAAGGATCCAATAAAAACAGGGGACAGGAAAGGTGAATTTGAAGCTGAGGGGGAAACACCTTTCAAAAAATAATGCTCAAGCTCCTGGAAGGCAAAAAAAGAAAAAAGAAAAAAAGGTAATTATGGGAATGAAAAACTAAATTTAGTCAAGTCTTTCAAATTTATACTGTGTTCTTTTTGAGTTTAAATAGCCTGATGACTCATGACTTCCTATTCTTTAATTATTGTTGTCAAGTAATCATTTCTGAGTACCCAGGCTTCTGAAATCCCCATTCGCGGGTGGAGATATTTCTGTATCCCTTTTTGTTTATTTGTTTGGTTGGCTTTTTTGTTTGTTTGTTTTCACAGTCTCCCCTATAGTTAGGTGGATAGTGATCTTAATTTGTGATAAGTGTGAGAGCGCCCTTTTAAAGACTTTAAAGCACTCTATTAATTGTTGCTGTCTGGTTACCTTTTGAGAGATTCATTAACCTACTTTTAAGTAACCAAAGTCATAAATCGCATTTACGTTAAGAAATAAAACCAGAAGGAAACCTTTTGCTTTATTGAAGAAAATCCATAATAAAGTGTAATCTTCCGTATGCACAGTGTCTTGCATGAGTTTATTTCTGTTGGGGGTAAATAGTCTGATTTGACTGCTTTTTTTCATTTCACCTTTCATTTAATTATAATCCTATAAAATTTCTGCTTCTCCTATCTCTTTCCTATTTGGATAAGCCCTTTGGTTCCTCCAGTTTTCCCAATGTGCAATTTTAAGGCCGTGTAGCTCAACTTTGTATTGTATTGTCCTTGCTTTGAGAGGATTAATGTCTTTTCTGTTTTGGAGTTTAGATGAACTATGTTTTTACTTTGAACACAGCAAACACAGCGTGGAAAGAGAACAATGTAAGAAGGGATCCAGCATAAAATCATGACATTAAAATCTTTTCATTGTGGAAAATGCTAAATCAAGCATAATGAAGAATGTACATTATAGGCTATCTGCTCATTCAGTGCCTTACTAGTCCAAGGTTAATGTGGCCTCTCATATATGTTTTGTTTTTCTTTTGCAGAAGGAGCTGAGTCTCCCCAGAAGAGGAAGTTTGTAAGTAGCCTAATTTTGTTTCCTTATTATTACTATATTGTACAGTTTGTAATGTGATTATTCTCTGACTTGTTAGGATTTTCAGACAAATGCAGGACTAATGATAATCAACTGAATTGAGAAAACAGACACTATGCATTTATTTATAAATGTCACATATTCATGATTTCAGGATAACTTGAAGAAAGTTTCCAGATTTTGTCCTTATGGGCATTATAAGCCAAAATGCTTACTTATTCCTGGGACAACCTTAATTTAAAAAAAAAAAATTTCTTAGGTAATCAAGCAAAAACATTATTTGGTCTGCAGATAGTATAAATGGATCTGAGTCAAGAATTGGTGTTCTCCTATATGTTCAGGAAATCTGTGATTTTTTTTTTTTTATTTTATTTTTTTTAAAGATTTTATTTATTTGAGACAGAGAGAATGAGAGAGAGAGAGAGAGCACATGAGAGGGGGGAGGGTCAGAGGGAGAAGCAGACTCCCTGCCGAGCAGGGAGCCTGATGCGGGACTCGATCCCGGGACTCCAGGATCATGACCTGAGCTGAAGGCAGTCGCCCAACCAACTGAGCCACCCAGGCACCCTGTGATTGTTTTTTATGCTATGGATTTTATGCAAAGTAAATGATAAACTTTTGCCGTGATGATGAAGAGTTTAAGTCAGCTAAACTTTCTGTTAGATCTAGATCTTACTGCATTGACTCATGTCATGGTCTTGTTTTAAAATAGCCGATTTATGAACCTTAACTTGATTTCTTTATAGTTTGTTTCAACCTTTTGTTTTGAAGGCTAATAATATATTTGCATAAATTATAGCTTTTTTTTTTTTTTACCATTAGCAAGTTGCAGAAGGAAATTAATTGCCTTTAACATTCCACTAAGTTTAGGGTTGATTTGTTACCAACTAGTGCTTTGTAAGGGCTTGTCTAGAAATACTGGGATTTGGTATCTACGTTGAATAATTGAGTGGATGGGGCAATGTCCTTTTTAAAGAATAAGTATAATATTTAAGGTAGGTTGATGCAGATCTCAACTTGGAGTATTAGAAATGTATATGGTAACTGTTAGAAGATAGTATTCATTTTGTTGACCAATTTTTGGATGATGTCAGCCTTTGCATCTGAGAACCAAAACTTCATCTACTATGAACATTTCAATACTATCTATTTTGGTTCTTAACATTTTATAGCTTTAGGCTGCCTGGAGGATATGGGATCATTGTTCTTGAAGAAGGTATCTGGATAAATTTTCACTGGCTTCCAGCTTACATCCCTGTGTGCTAGATGTTAATGGCCTAAAATTGGCCATAGGAAATGCCTTCAGAATTAAAAATGTGCCACCTTCTGAATCATGATTAAGACTCTCACCTAGACTTGGAAAAGTCCAAATGTTTTGGTGTTTCTAATCATGATGAAAAATAAGAAATAAGAAACCTGAAGTAAAACTACATGAAATATCATAATAGAAAAAAAAAATCTCTTTTCCCTTGTATTTTACCTTTATTTAATGCTTAAAGTATCCTAGGTTTGTCTTCAGTACTTTATTTGAAAACTTCAGAATTTCAGTCAAATCTTCCTTTTAGCCTTTATGATAGATTGCATTTTCTTCAGTTTTTGAGTTAGTATATTTCCTGTAAATTTTTATTAAGATAATGTTAATTACAAATTAGAGCCCCCATGTCTATTTAAAGGCCACATCTCCTTTTGTAGTATCTCCTTATCTCATATCTCCTTGTATAAGTCTGTTAATGTTAGCTGATAGCTGTGGGCTAGTGGGAGAAATAGACGATATATTTAAATTTCTTTTTTTTTTTTTTTTTTTAAAGATTTTTTTTTTATTTATTCATATGAGAGAGAGAATGAGATAGAGAGAGAGCATGAGAGGGGAGAGGGTCAGAGGCAGAAGCAGACTCCCTGCTGAGCAGGGAGCCCGATGTGGGACTCGATCCCGGGACTCCAGGATCATGACCCGAGCCGAAGGCAGTCGCTTAACCAACTGAGCCACCCAGGCGCCCGATATATTTAAATTTCTTGACTTGGGAGTTTAGAATCTTTCATGAATAAAAAGGATGATGGCGTAAGTTTCTTTGGCACCCGTGCTTTGAAAACTTACTAAGGGAAACATAGAATTACGTTGAAGCCCTTTAAAATCTCGTCCCTAATAAAAGTCAATTGATCTATCAACCAGATGATGGAAGTAAAACATAGCATGTATGTCAACATAAATCTACCTTTTCCTTTTTTAGTGACTTCTGCGGAAATTAATATTTCAAGTGAAAACAAAAGATAAAGATGTATTTTTTATATTTATATTATATATATTTATATTTTTTATTGAACACAAATATTCTCAAAAGAATTAATGGTGTATGATAGAGATGTTCTGGGACTTAACACCACTCAGCATTTTCAGTGACCCCCATACAGAATGTTGGTAATTACTTTCCTCATGCAGGGTTGTTTTATGACTTGGAGAAAAAGAAAATACTTGAAAAAATAATTGCTAGAGTGATTTTAATAGAAATCTAATGAAGAGGGCACAAGTCGTGCTAGCCAACATAACTGTACCTGATTATTAAAACCTGTTAACACTTCGTCATTATATTTTACTGGTGAAATGCCTCCAGCATAAGTGTTTTCAGATCTTTTCGTATCTTCTCCCAGAAAGATTGAGGATTTGATCCCGCTGTTCTGTTGAATCTTCTTTCCATGTTAACAGTGAGCAGCTATACAGGGTGATGGATTCCTCGTTGTATGTAGTTACAAAGTGATGTGATTGAATGTGTCAGGGCGGGGGCGGGGGGGTGTGCCTTCAGAAAGGCTGTGCTCTTAGAAGAAGGTGCCCGGTTTTGTTGCATCTGCTGCTTCTACTTTGATGTCTTGAAGGATGATATTTTTAAGATGCATTGTCATCATTCAAGCACTTAGGGATTTATCAGATTTTTATTTTTTTTAATTTTATTTTATTATGTTAGTTGCCATACAATACATCATTAGTTTTTGATGTAGTGATCCATGATTCATTGTTTTCGTATAGCACCCAGTGCTCCATGCAGTAAAAAAAATCTCCATGAGATTTTTTTTTAAAATTCAGTATTGTCTTAACAGATAATTTTTATGTCTGGAATCACAATAACATGTTTTATGTATGTAAAAGTTAAAGCTCTCACAAAAGATTGCAGAAAATAGGTTTTTCTTTTTATTACTATCTTAAAGTATAAAAAAAGCAGACTGTCTTCTGTCCAGAAAATAATTCAGTTCTTTAGTAATTTGTAAAATATGATCATTTTCTCAAGAAATCACTTAAAATGTGTGTTGTTTCATATATGTTGTAAAAGGTTGCAAAGGCAATGATTGTGACCTTTTTTTTTTTTGTGGTGCAAAGGGCAACAGAGAAGTCAAGGGAACTGCTTTCCAGGCAAGATGTTACTAAATAACCAAGTGACTCCAGATCAGTTTTCCAGAGGCTTTTGTAGTCCTTTATCAACTCAAGAGTCCCAGATGTCATCTCCATTCTAACTCCTTGGATAGCTGGACTTCAGCTTAGTTGTCTTCCTCCTCTCAAGAGTAGCCACATGCCGAGACTTGATCCTAGATTTTGCCAGCACCTTTCATCTCTTTCTCTTTGGAACTAAAGTTGTGATACTCTCTGCTCTTTCTCTTCTCTGCTACCTGTCAAAAACTATAGAGCCTTTGAATAAATCATGATATAATCATACAGTGAAATACTATATAGGTAGAATGAATGAACTGGAGCATATGTAGCAACACATAAAATTATCAAAAATACCCAGAACAAAAGCTAAAAGCAAATTGCATATACAAGAAAGCGTTTACATGATAAAATTTAAGTATGCAAAACAAGACATTTTATTGTTGGTGAATACAAACATGTGCAGTAGAAATATAAAAACATGCATGGGCAACATATTTACAGTAAAGTTTATTAGTGGAGGGAATGAAAGAAATGGGATTCGAGAGGACTCTACAGGGGGCTCCATGTATATGATTAATGTGTAGGTACATGGATGTTTACAGTATACCCTCTACATTTTGATATTCTTGAGCTATTTTATTTAAAATACTCAGTAATTACATGAAGGTAAGATTCCAGACTGTTTTATCCAGATATGTATGGAGATTTAACAATAATTTGAAGGAAAAAAATATATTATCTGTTTCAAATGAAAGAATATACCAAACCCGTATTTATTTTTGTTTTACTCTTTTGTTGTTTTTGTGACTTGAAGATTGGCTTAAATGAGTACAGTTTTATAGTTGTTGGAATATCTGCTGTGGCAGGTACCTTACTAGTTAATGCCAAAGCATCATAATACATTCTGATACTCGTGGCGGAAAGGAGGCACATGAGAGGATATCTAAAATGGGACATTATGACATTTAGCTGCAGAACTAGATTTGTTGTCTTGAATTTTCAGCCTTTTAAGAAAAGTGACTATTCTTTATCTACCATAAGGTGCTCAGCACGGTCATGTACAGAGTGTGGGCATTGGGAGCTGACCCACACGTCTGTCTCCCCAGCCAGACTGTGAGCCTCCCAGCAGAGTGAACCATCCTGCTTTTGCTCTGAGTTCCTGTCACAGTGTGTTGAGGACTAACAGTGATTCTGTGGCTGGTTGGCTCATGCCAGATCTTTCTTGGTTTAAATTTGGTGTGGAATACGTGGGCTCCCTTAACATTATTTTTATTTTCCTAATAACAACGAGTTTATATAAGTGCTCATAGTGTCTTTGGTCCCTTATCTAGTCTTTACCCATCGTTAGATCTCAGGTTATGAAATGACATTTACAAGTGGAAAAACTTTCTGGGAGGTGTTTGTTTTCAGACAGTGAAAGTGGTAAAAGGGTAAAAACCCAAGATGTGAGCTGATACATGGTGAGGAGCAAGCTCAGGGTGGCTCTGGCAGCTACACTTTATTTTTAAAAGACCCCTTTGTGTTTCATTGATTGTCCAAATAAACATTTCTCTGGGACAGAGAG